TGTCATTGTGTTGTCTTTGTGATGTTATTTGTTCGATAGGGGTTATATCAATCTCTTTGTGCTTTATATAAATTGACAGAATTGTGTGTACTTCAATAACGACAACAAATGAAATAACTATAAATAATTATAATAATAGCAACAATAATAACAACAACAACAACAACAACAATAATAATAATAATAATAATAATAATAATAATAATAATAATAATAATAATAATAATAATAATAATAATAATAATAATAATAATAATATATTGACGATAAAAAATTAAAAAACAATATGTAAAAAAAAACAACAACTACAGAACACACACACACAAAAATACACACATAATATACACACACACACATATACAAACACACTCACACACAAAAACAAACACCCAGATGCATACACGTATGCACACTCCCCTCCAAAACAAAACGAAACAAACAGTTAAACACATTCACATACAAGACGACAAGGTACGGTCGAGATGAGATGTATTACAGAAAATCCCCTCTAGTGCAATTCGGACAACGCCTATGTCGTGAGGTAAAACCACAGGATTAAAGAAAATGAAAAGTGATATCACTAGCTTTCCTCTCCCCCTATCCGCTGTATTTATTGCTCTCTTTATTAAGGACGCAGAGGACACATTGAGATAGATAATAATGTTAATGTCCTACCAGCAGAAGATCAAAGGTTAGCCTAGTTGTGGTTTTTTTCAGACGTTTTGAACAATCACACACAACAACTTAGAAACACAAATAAAATTTAATTTGCATGTTTCACAGTATGCGTGTTGTTGCTTGTCTTTTCAAGTTCCTGATTAAAAAAAAAAAATAAGAAGAAAAAAAAGGTATGAATAATAACGACGTTAATTAATATTCATTTTTTTAAAGTATTCCTAAAACTGCGCGTGTTCAAGTTGTTGTCAAATAACAAGAATGCATGACCGCAGAGACACATTCTTTTGTTCAACTGTCTCATACTCTTGTCAAGAAAAGGCCAGATCGAAAGAAAGCGGGAACGAGACATATTATAATCAATTAATGAAAGATAGTCAAAAACGAAAGCAATAAACCTTCAGGGGCAGCTATCCATAACAAAAAATAAACAACAACAGCAATAGCAGCAAGGACAGCAACTATAACAACAGCAACAAAAAACAACAACAATGAAATCTGTAACACACAAAAGGTAAAGACAGATAAATTAATTAATAAATGAATAAATAAATAAATACATAAATAAATACATAAATAAATACATAAATAAATAAACAAAGAAAAAGAAAGAAAGAAGAAAGAAAGAAAGAAAGAAAGAAAGAAAGAAAGAAAGAAAGAAAGAAAAAAAGAAAAAAAAACCTAGGTTACAAACCTACCCCCTGAAAGACAAACAACAACAACAACAACAACAATAACAATAACAACAATAACAACAATAACAACAACAACAACAATAGCAACAACGAAACAAGAAGCAAAGACAAAACAAAAATTATATTTGTTAAAAATATATTTTAAAAAACCTAAAAAAACAACCAACAACAACTCAAGAACAAACAAACCCTGAAAAGAACCCCAACATTTCGATGTCGATTAAAGAGAAAACACAGACATAATACAAATAATAGGTTTGCTGCCCCCCCCCCCTCTCCCCCCCCCCCCGCCCCTCAACCCGAAAGAAAAAAACCGGTGGTGATCGGTTATTAAGTTCTTCGTTATAGCAAAACCAATTTTTTTCTAAAATAAAATGGCCCACCCAATATCATCTTACACACTGCGCCGATTCCCCGAATCACAAATCATATCAAGTGGATAAAGCACACCCAAATAAAACAGAATAAAAAAAACAACAACAACAAGCTAACAATGTAGGAAATCAACACAAGGCCATACGAAAACAACACAAACCACGTCTCTTTTTTTTTCATCTTCTAACTGTATAAAAACCATGTTCGAAAAGGTGATCTTTACTGAGAGCAGCCTTTGTTATTTGTTGTTGGCCATTTTTCATCAATTGATATTTATTTCATTTTGTCTACGTGTGTGTGTGTGTATGTATGTGTATGTGTGGGTGTGTGTGTGTGTGTGTGTGTGTGT